AGAAGACATGTAGTTTGGTCGGGTGCGACACTTGAAGTTGCATTCCTAGTGTCGGACATGGAACTGGCCCGCCCCCTCTCTCGTCGCCCCCTCCGACAAAACAAAGGTCCAGTTGTAACCATGTTAGGGGACATGCAGTTGTGGTCAGGTGCGGCACTTGCAGTTGTGGGAATGTTGTCGGGCTTGCAACTGGCCCACCCCCTCTACCGGCGCCCCCTCGCTGACAGAACAAAAACTTCCAGGTGCACTCGGGCTTGAAGACATGGAGTTGCGGTCTGGTGCGGCACTTGCAGTTGCATTCCTAGTGCCGGACATGCAACCGGCCCTACCGATCCCTACTCGAACCACAAACAAAGTTAAAAAAACTCAAACCAGAAACAAAGTCTAGTTGGCCGGTGACAAATATTTTTGAGAAGAAAAAAGGTAAGTTACACGCCAATGACATACATACAACTATATGTGGCCGATATGCATGACACTATATGTGCTCGACGGGTGTGTCGGCAATAATATTTTTGGAAAGAAAAAAAGTTGCACACGGACACGGACAATAAAACATGTAATTGCATGTGATTCAATGTACATGTAATTGTGTGCGAGCAATGTATGTGTAAACAAGTGACAATATTTTTTTAAATAATAATAGCAATTGAGAAAAAAAGAAAGAAAAAAAATGGGAACAAACCAAAGCGAACAGCCCTATTAATCACTTCTGTCCCCACGCAACACGAGCACTAATAGAAAATTCAGCCTAGAAGAAAGCCCAAATAACAAAGGAAAAGCCATACACCCCTCACGGCCAGCCCATGGGGATATCTCTGTCCAACACAAAGAATAGAAGAAAGGCAAAAAAAAAGGAAACAAGGCAATCGGCCGAGAGCACAACTAAAACAGGCCGATACATCACACGGAAACAGCGATCCTGAATCTCAAACAGAAAACGATCGAAGGTCAAAGTACATCGACTGAGACTTTCTTAAAACTCAGTCGACTGAGTTTTAGCCGTCCCCTTTCACTTTCAGTTTCAGATATATTTCATCAACAACCGAAGTTGATTCCTCTAAAAAAACCGAAGTTGATTGAATTTCGGTGATTTTGGTTTGCGTTTCGGCCAAGCACCAAAAAATTCAATTGAATTCAATTAGCTCCTCCAAGAAAGAAAGTTAGGGTTCATGCCTCTCGCCGGCGCTGGCGCAGGTCCGCCTCATCTCCGGTGGCCCTAGGGCCATGGAGGCGCGGTGGATCCTGACAAGGGCTGGCGGGAGGGCTCTGTTTTTAGTCGTTTTTTTTCAATCTTGTTAGGGTTTGTGTCCTATTCAGAAAGCGAGACGGCGACGGCTCCCTGAAGATGGAATAAAGGTCTCCCGCCTAGTCCCCGTTCCGGTGGTGCGTCTAGCACGGTTGGTGGGCGTGTGGAGGTGTGTCTCTGGTAGATCTATCTTTGGTGGATTTGGTTGGATCTCGTCGTTCTTCGTCTATGTTTGTGTGTCTTCGGTTTGGATCCTTCCGATCTACGTTATTTTTCATCGGCGGCGGTTGCTGTTCTGGGATACTCGTTCTATGGGGCCTTAGCACGACGACTTTCCGGCTGTCTACTACAACAAGTTGTGCCCGGTTTCGGCGATGGAGGGGTGATGATGGCGGCGCGCCTTCGGCTCGCTTCGGTGCTTGTAGTCGTCACTAGATGGTCTACGGATCTGGATGTAATTTTTATTTCTGGTGTTCGTTGTACTGCTATGATTGAAGATAAATAGATTGAAAAATTTTCCGGAAAAAAAAATCAATTAGCTTTTTGAGAGAAAAAAATAAGACACATTCTAAAAATTATTTGAATTCATGTGTACTACTGAAATTGCTGAAATATTTTGGATGAATTTCATCAAAATTTCAAAGAAAGTTAAAACCATCCGAACTTCCGAAGAGGTGATTGGGGCGCGGCAGGATGGTCGGCAATCGAACATGGAGGGGACGGGAGAGGAGGATGGCGATGGATCAACGATGCTTCACTTTATCCCTGAACCATCCGCCTTATTCTTACGGTCATCACACCACTCTCATACTGTCATACAGTAGTAGTTTTGCAAACAAGTATGATTGCACGCGCGCACTTGCAAGTGCACTTATTCTAGTACGGCTCTTGGCAAGCCTAATAGTAACTCTTAGTATTGATAGTAGTACTGTAGTGTATACCGCGCGTCCGTTTGGAGATCAATTCAATGGTTGGCGACGATCTCCTGCGCCCTGGTCTCATAGGTAAACTTGTAGGTGCTCTGCTTGGAGCTGTCGGCCGACCAGATGAAGAAGCCCGGCAGCTTGTTCTGCCTTAGCAGCTCCTTGGCGGCGGCGATGCCCTGGTCCGGCGAGAGCAGGCCGAGCTCCTCCGTGGTCTTGCCGGTCTGCAGGCTGGCGAGCACCCTGGCGCCGGGGTAGAAGCCCGTCTGGCGATCGTAGAACATGACGTAGGTCGGGACGTCGGTGTTGGCGCCGTAGCCGTAGAACTGGAAGTTGACGTAGTCGATGACGCCGGAGTACCTGCTCCACAGCGCCCGGTAGTACCTCTGCACGGTGTCGTCCTCGAAGGGCGCGATGGAGGTGGTGATGTTGGGGAAGGCGGCCTTGAGCCGGGTGAGCAGCCGGCCGACGCACTCCACGAAGGTGTCGACGGAGACGCCGGCGGCGAAGCGCTCGTAGTCGACGTCCACCCCGTCGAGGCCGTACTCGTTGATGAGGCGCGAGAGCGAGGCCACGGCGTTGGCCACCCACGAGTCGACGGAGGCCGGCGCGAAGGAGACCTTGACGATGTCCAGCACGCTGTCGCCGCCGAGGCCGGCCATGACGCTCACGTTCGGGTGCGCGGCCTTGATGGCGGCCACGTCGGCGCGGGAGAGGTTGGCCGTGTCCCAGAACGCGCTGAACACGCCGTTGGTGGGCGCCGGCGTGGGCTGCTGCGCCACCGGCGTGTAGTCGATGGCGAAGGCGAGGATGTGGTGGAAGCTGACGCCGGGGTTGACAGGCACGTCGGAGAACCGGACGCCCGTGGACTGCGCGCCGAGGTACTCCCGGAAGAGGTACCCGTTCGTCATGGCCGGCGGTAATCGAGCTGGAGGAGGCTGGAGCTGGCCTCGGTGTCAGGATCTCCCTAAATACGCAGTGGCGGCTTGATTAGCTCGGCCCGCTGGTGGTTGGGCACAAGATAATCCGATGGGGTACGTGGGGTATACGTTGACGAATTCGCAGCTGGGAATGCGACGTTGCAGCTAATCGGGTCGACTCGGATGAGCGTAATCTCAAGATATGGTGGATAGCGGCAGCTTTCAATGGCGTATGAGCGATGTGGGCAAGGAAGAAGGCTCCACGCATGCGCCAGCTAACAAGTCCTGGCGTGCAAGCAGCTAGCTCTCCATGACTAGTCAGCTTGGAAGCGTCAACCATACAGTGAGAGATTGAATTGTCCATGATGGCGAGTCTCCACATGGGCAGACACTGTTGGTGACGCGAATTCCACCAGGGAACAGTCCAGCGCACATGCAAATCTTGTAGAGCACCATTGTAGTGCAAAGCTTGGCCCCCAAAAAATGCAAAACAAAAAAAAAATGCTTGGTTGATTATCGAGAATAGGGTGTGGACCGCCGATAGGTTGCAACGTCGGGATGGCCCAACTGCAACCTTTCCCCTCTTTGCAAACAGGTTCGAGAGACGGCGGCTCACCTTCTCTTCCAATGTCGGTTCACAGTGAGAGTGTGGACGGAGATTAAGAATTGGCTTGGCCTTCATGACATCGACCCGATGGACTGGAGACTTGCGCTCTCGGTGGAAGTTTGGTGGGACGAGTTTTCTCACAAAAGGGGCGACTCATGCAAGGCTCATAACACCTTGATGATGCTTGTTGCGTGGGAAATTTGGAACGAGCACAACACGAGGATCTTCCGCGACATAGCCGCCACTGCTACCATCATCATTACCAAGATTAAGGACGAAGCCTCTCTTTGGGCTCGTGTGGGTGCGAAGTATCTGAGTAATGTAATGCCGCGAGAGTGATTTGTACTTTTCCGCTTGGTGGAACTATGTCTAACTTCTTCTTAATTAATGAAAATGGCAAATCTTGTGCCTTTTTTCCAAAGAAAAGTATCTAGGCTTTGAATTTTCAAAACCGTTGATCTCTCAGACCATACACTCAAGTGACGATCCATTTTCGCCCCGGTATTGTGGCGCCAAGTTCTTTGAAAAACTATAGATCTGATGTCGTTGATATGTTTCGATGAATTTTTCCCGTCACCAGTTGTCCGGTTAGTCACTTGTTTATAAGGTTATAGACTTGTTATAGACATTTAGTTATAAGATTATTACATGGTAACAAAATATTACTATTAGGTTGGCCATTCATGATCTGGTCAAAAGATAATAAAATGGGATCTTGTTTTTGATGGGAACGAAGCATGAAAATAAAAAAAATCTACGAACACCCAAGATCTAATTTAGGAGATGCAAGGCAACGAGAGGGGAGTGTGTTTACATACCCTTGTAGACCGAAAGCAGAAGCGTATAAAACGCGGTTGATGCAGTCGCACTCTTCGTGATCCAATCACGATCTAGTGTCGAACGGATGACACCTTCGAGATTAGCACACGTTCAGCTCGATGGCGTCCTCTCCTTCTTGATCCAGCAAGCAAGGGGGAGGAGGTAGATGAGATCGGAACCAGCATGGCGGTATGGTGGTGGTGGTGGCAGCGGAATTCCGGCAGGGCTTTGCCAAGCGCGTACCGAAGAAACGTGGGAGGAATTGGGAGAGTCAATGGGCAAGGGTGAAGGGGTTGCTGCCCCCAAGCGCCCCCCCTCTCTATATAGGCTAAGGGCAGGGTAGGGCGTCCAAAACCCTCCTAGGGCCTCCCACATGGGAAAAATCTCTTTAAACTTGGAGATAGCACCTTATCTCTATATTCAACCCTTTAAATTTAGAGATAAGACCTTATCTCTAGATTTAAATGACATGTGCCTTGGTAAATGGTGTGGCCAACCCATGTGGGATGTAGACTCACCCCTCGGTACATGTGGGTCCTTCCCATGTCATTGGGCCGCGCGGTGGAACACCCGGAACCTTCTAGAACCTTCCTGGTACTCTACCAAAAATTCTTGAACTTTTTTGGAACCCTAAATATTGTTGGAAATATGCCCTAGAGGCAATAATAAAAGTATTATTATATTTCAATGTTCATGATAAATGTCTTTTATTCATGATATAACTGTATTATCCGGAAATCGTAATACACGTGTGAATACTTAGACCACAATATGTCCCTGGTGAGCCTCTAGTTGACCAGCTCGTTGTGATCATCAGATAGTCATGGTTTCCTGACTATGGACATTGGATGTCGTTGATAACGGGATCACATCATTAGGAGAATGATGTGATGGACAAGACCCAATCCTAAGCATAGCATAAAAGATCGTGTAGTTCGTTTTGCTAGAGCTTTGCCAGTGTCAAGTATCTCTTCCTTCGACCATGAGATCGTGTAACTCCCGGATACCGTAAGAGTGCCTTGGGTGTATCAAACGTCACAACGTAACTGGGTGACTATAAAGGTGCATTACAGGTATCTCCGAAAGTAGCTGTTGGGTTGACACGGATCGAGACTGGGATTTGTCACTCCGTATGACGGAGAGGTATCTCTGGGCCCACTCGGTAATGCATCATCATTATGAGCTCAATGTGACCAAGGTGTTGGACACGGGATCATGCATTACGGTACGAGTAAAGTGACTTGCCGGTAACGAGACTGAACAAGGTATTGGGATACCGACGATCGAGTCTCGGGCAAGTAACGTACCGATTGACAAAGGGAATTGCATACAGGGTTTTGATCGAATCCTCGACATAGTGGTTCATCCGATGACAACATCGAGGAGCATGTGGGAGCCATCATGGGTATCCAAATCCCGCTGTTGGTTATTGACTGAGAGCGTCTCGGTCATGTCTGCATGTCTCCCGAACCCGTAGGGTCTACACACTTAAGGTTCGGTGACGCTAGGGTTATTAGGAAGACTAGTATGTGACTACCGAATGTTGTTCGGAGTCCCGGATGGGATCCTGGACGTCACGAGGAGATCCGGAATGGTCCGGAGGTAAAGATTTATATATGGGAAGTTGTCAAACGGACACCGGGAAGTTTCGGGGTCATACCGGTATTGTACCGGGGCCACCGGAAGGGTTCCGGGGGTCCACCGGGAGGGGCCACCCCTCCCGGGGGGCCACATGGGCTGCGTGGGGCAGGGAGCCAGCCCCTGGTGGGCTGGCCGCACCCCCCTCCCTTGGGCCCATGCGCCTAGGGTTGAGGGGGAACCCTAGAGGGGGCGCCCCCCTTGGCTTGGGGGGCAAGCCACCCTCTCCCCTCTCCCCTAGGCCGCCGCACCCCCCCTAGATGGGTTCTAGGGGGCCGGCCCCCTTCTCCCTTCCCCCTATAAATAGAGGGGTGAGGGGAGGGCAGCCGTACCACCCTCCAAGGCGCAGCCCTCCCCTCCCCAACACCTCTCCTCCTCCGTTGTGTGCTTGGCGAAGCCCTGTCGGAGTACTGCCTCTCCACCATCACCACGCCGTCGTGCTGCCGGTGGAGCTGTCTTCCTCAACCTCTCCTTCCCCCTTGCTGGATCAAGAAGGAGGAGACGTCTCCCGTCCCGTAGGTGTGTTGAACGCGGAGGTGCTGTCCGTTCAGCACTTGGTCATCGGTGATTCGAATCACATCGAGTACGACTACATCATCACCATGCAAGCTTCCGCACGCGATCTACAAGTGGTATGTAGATGCAAACTCTCTCCCTTGACTCGTTGCTTAGATGAACTCATAGATGGATCTTGGTGAAACCGTAGGAAAAATTTTAATTTTCTGCAACGTTCCCCAACAGTGGCATCATGAGCTAGGTCTATGCGTAGTTCTCTTTGCACGAGTAGAACACAATTTGTTGTGGGCGTGGATTTTGTCATCTTACTTGCCTCTACTAGTCTTTTCTTGCTCAAACGGTATTGTGGGATGAAGCGGCCCGGACCAACCTTACACGTACGTTTACGTGAGACCGGTTCCACCGACTGACATGCACTAGTTGCATAAGGTGGCTGGCGGGTGTCTGTCTCTCCCACTTTAGTTGGAGCGGAATCGATGAACAGGGCCCTTATGAAGGGTAAATAGAAGTTGACAAAATCACGTTGTGGTGATTCGTAGGTAAGAAAACGTTCTTGCTAGAACCCAATTGCAGCCACGTAAAAGATGCAACAACAATTAGAGGACGTCTAACTTGTTTTTGCAGCGATTGATCATGTGATGTGATATGGCCAGAAGTTGTGATGAATGATGAATTGTGATGTATGAGATCATGTTCTTTGTAATAGGATTCACGACTTGCATGTCGATGAGTATGACAACCGGCAGGAGCCATAGGAGTTGTCTTTATTTTTTGTATGACCTGCGTGTCATTGAATAACGCCATGTAAACTACTTTACTTTATTGCTAAACGTTAGTCATAGAAGTAGAAGTAGTCGTTGGCGTGACAACTTCATGAAGACACGATGATGGAGATCATGATGATGGAGATCATGGTGTCAAGCCGGTGACAAGATGATCATGGAGCCCCGAAGATGAAGATCAATGGAGCTATATGATATTGGCCATATCATGTCACAACTATATATAATTGCATGTGATGTTTATTATGTTTATGCATCTTGTTTACTTAGGACGACGGTAGTAAATAAGATGATCCCTTACAAAATTTCAAGAAGTGTTCTCCCCTAACTGTGCACCGTTGCTACAGTTCGTCGCTTCTAAGCACCACGTGATGATCGGGTGTGATGGATTCTTACGTTCACATACAACGGGTGTAAGACAGTTTTACACAGCGAAAACACTTAGGGTTAACTTGACGAGCCTAGCATGTGCAGACATGGCCTCGGAACACGGAGACCGAAAGGTCGAACACGAATCGTATGGAAGATACGATCAACATGAGAATGTTCACCGACGATGACTAGTCCGTCTCACGTGATGATCGGACACGGGCTAGTCGACTCGGATCGTGTAACACTTAGATGACTAG